AATAGCCAGATATTAGCAGTGTTTAGATTGTTGTTCATATAAAGCAGGCAATTCATGTTTTCATTTCGCTACATTCTGTTTCCGTTATAAATTTGCTACTGGACGATACTCAACATACTTTGTCTTCCGTATCAAGCGCAATCCTTCACGTTGGCTAGATACGTTTCAGTAACTGGTTTTACTACGGAGCACAAGATGTTCGCACAAGCAGCACACCAAAACTGCTGGGATGGGAGCAAATGCTCATTTGAAAGGCCAATGCCTGAACTAGGAACAGGTTTGGCTGAGACTGGCTTCATTTAGCTAGCGCACTAATCCCAGCTGTATCCGCAGTAGTGTCTTTAGCACCGTGAGGCTACATCAGGACTTCAGCAAGCTGAGGGAGGGGGAGATGTGGCTCAAAGCACAGGCAACCCAATTGCAGAGCTACCTACTATTGCACACCCGTGAGTTGAAAAAGGTGATGTTTTGTGTTTGTGTGTGTGTGTGAGTCCACGTGCACAGGGTTGTACTGGACACAGTATGGGGCGGGCACACAATAAGAGCCTGCGGTTTACGGTCAGGACCAGTTTAAGCTTGCTTCCCACAAATAAAGCCTTAAAAAGTTTTGCATCACATGGCTTAAGATAAAAAAAAAAAAAAAAGTTTTTCTCTATTTGACAATGCTAATGCTCAGGCATGGCTTTTGTGCGGAAATATTAATTATGGGTCTTCAGTGTTGATTAAATTTTTATGGGAGCTGTGCCCAGATCCTTGCTTATGTGGCCATGAACAACTTTTAGTGCTTGTTGTGACAGTATTTTTAATAGTGTGATTTTAATTATACCCTTCTTGGGATTGGACTAATTTGGCAAAGAGGGATGTTTACTTGCTCAGCTGGTTATTGCCCTGTCTTGTACTCTTTGGCCACAAAACACACACTTCTATACAGTGTTTGCATAATGGGGGAGAGGGAGGGAGTTATTTTTCATGATTCTGTCTGTCTCTCGATTCCTACGTGTACTAACTGGTTTTGTCCATAGGGTTAGCAAACTAGATTTTTTTTTTTTGTCTGAAATAACTTGCCAACCAAAAAAAGTTACGTTGTCCAAGCAAATTTTTCTGGGTTGTCCAGTACTCCATCTCCATGTGTTTTCTCCTTCATCCGTATCATGACCAAGTCTCTTAGCCTTGTCATAACTACCCAAAGCCCTATCTGTTGTCTTGTCGATCTTCTTAAGTCTTCCTTATTTTTTCACTTCTTTATATTGGTGAATTTAAAAATGAGACTTCAGCTTTCACATTTAAATGCCATGTAAAAGGAAGAGTTCAGCTTTTTGCTAGACTAAAATTTAATAGATAACTTCTTCCCTTCATTAACTGAATGTCAGTAAACTGGCAAGTAGTTGAGATTAAGACTACATTTGTCTTGAAGATACACGGTCAAAGGATTTTTTTTTTTAGTGTTTTTTTTCTGTTGGTGGTGGTGTTTTCCCAGAATTTTCTGCTCTGATGGAGATTTTTCACTATCATGTTCTTCTCAGAGTATTTCCTTATGTGTTGGGTACCAAATGTAGTTCAGAGGAGTTGAAAATGCTGAACAAGATCAGCTCTATTTTAGTGCTTTGAGTGGTAGTGACAAGCTTGGTGTGACATGAATCTCTGCCCAGAACAATGATTCTAAGCAACTGCACATGCTATGTAGGAGAAAAGCAAGCTTCTGTGGTTCAAAACAGCCCCAGAGCTTCTTGTTTCTCAAGGCTTGTGCTTGGATTTTGGGGGGCAGATCTGAGATTTGACTTTCTAGCCGAATAGGAAGGCCTCAGTGCTGATACAAATTCTGGGCATATTTTGGGTTGGGAAAAAAAGGATTTTTGTGTGTGGGTAGCCAAGTCTGTGCTACTTGGATAGGATGAGAGATGGAGGTTTTAGAGTGACAGATCAGTGTGACTTTGTTTGTCGGACAAAGGTTTCAGGTTTAAACTTTGAGGGGGCGTACTGGGATTGCCTGAGAGGGCGCAAGCTTAGAGTCAACACCTCTTGACAAAGGTTCAGTGTTCGTTTACTCCACATTTCACACCTACTAAAGTACTTGGCATCAGCTCAGTGAAGATTTTATTGGTAAAATGGAAGTGGAAACACCTTCAGCCATTGCAAACCATCTTTGCAGTATGGTTTTTTTTGTCCCCCTCCTGCCTCCCTGTACACGTTAATGTATGCATACTGTTTCCCAGGTGAGAAAATGGTGCAGATGAATGCTGCTTCTGCTGAAAGGGTGAGGGCATACCTGGAATGGATCTTGAGTAATGCCTCCAAAGAACAGCAGTAACACCCACCTTTCTGCTTCCCCCCCGAGAGCAGTCCAGCTCCTCGTGGTAACTCTGAGACAGCTGAAGGCGATAGGAATGGGGAGATACGTGTGTGTGCGTGTGTGGGCACACAAGTCTGTGCTTTTGTACCCCCAGGTGACAAACCTCAAGAGACTTTCCAGGTTAGCTTGTGTCTTACTCTGAGGTCCCCAAGCCTCTCCATGTGCATCATTTTTGTTCCAGCTTCATCTCCCCCAGCTCACAATCTGTCTGTCATGACTCACACACTCTCTGGCTTTGATTTAGACTCCATCTGCTTTCTCAGCCAGTCAGATCCCAGTTCTTCTGTAACACACCGTAGGAGAAGTGTGGGACTGGAACAGAACATATATCTGTATTCGGGAGAGAGGAGGGGGAGGTGTATTGACTCCAGCCTCAAAGTTTCTCCTTGTCTCATCTGTCTCAGTGCAAGCATTTGGCTGCAAAATGTAAGTCTGTACGTGCCAGTAATAAGGCTGCGGCTGACTTGGAGAAACTTGTCCTTCCTGAGGGTGCGTGGACCTTCGGATCAGAGATCAGATTTGGTCTCAGTGTTGCAACTCACCGCACATTTATGGGTTTTTTTAAAGGAATGTCCTTTCTCCCCTGCTTGTTTAAAGGACTATCGCAGTTCCCTGAGGAAAACCAGCAGTTGTTCTGCCTCTTCTCTGCAGGTGACACAAAGGTAGCGGGGAGGCTGTGTGCTAATGCCTGGCAGCCAGAAACGTGCAAGAGTCTTGCCCTCAGATCACTGCTGTCTTCTCACAAGGACGGGGTGACCCTCGGAGGACTGAAGATCACTTTGGCAGGGAAGGGCTGTCCCCAGTTAGCTCACAGAGGGGGAATCACATGTCAAAGACAATACAGAGCTGGTGGGCTCTGAATTCTGGACAACAAAAATAAATCTCTCCCTCTTCAAGAGACTAGCTGGGGAGATTTCCCTCTACTATAAGCTTGTCACAGACTCCCCCACGCATGAGCATCATCAGAGAGGAATTGGTGCAAGGTCAATCCTTGGAATTAAAGCCAGGAGGGAATTTTCCTAGGGAGACTGGGTTAGAGGTAACCATATTTTTGACTTGCTCCTGAGAAAGCTTATGGAAAAGCAGCCGTTAAGGTGAAACTGGTCACTCTAAGATAATGCTTTGCTAATATCAGGAAGGGGAATGTGGCCCAACATCTGGGAGAATACCCCCCAAGAACATATTCTCAGAGCCTGGATTTCTTCTCTGTTGCTGATAAGTGGAAACACATCCAATAGGCTGCTTGGATCAAAAATATGATAGGAAGAGATGTAGAATGTTAGAGGAAAGCTGCAGAATACACAGAATTTGATTTTGCCTATTTACTGAGAAAACCTCACAAGGACAGTGAGTTAAACAAAGCAGCATCTTATCTTTGGATGCTAAGGATTTGCATGCATGACACGAACTGACAAGACATCTTTTTGCAAGATACAGATCAAGATCTGCTCCAGATTTAGAACTGGAATAGAGAGGGATGCTGCAGACAAGGGTTGAGGTCTCTGCTGTTAGTCACAACGGAGACAAGCTGGCAAAAGTGAGAGCTGGAATTCTCAGATCTGAGGTATGCAGAAATATGTGGAAAGTAGGCAGGGTAGAATTACCAGGAAAGAGAGCAGGAGTTTTCAGAGAGAAACATGTTTTTAAAGTGTAGAAAATGTGGCTTCCCTCTGCTGTATTTCTTGGCAGCCTGCTAACGCTCCATAATTTTTTTTTTAGTTGTTATATTTTAAGACTATAACTTTGTAAAAATTGTGAACAGTGATTCAGAGACAAACACAAGTACTTGAAATATAGGTGCAGTGCATGCATGCTGTTTTACTCCTCTCCCTCCAACACTGAGGATGCCCCCACTTAAGATTTTCCCATTCTATTTAAAAATTCCAGAGATGATGGGAAAACAAAGAGGCTTTCCTCCCTTCCAGTGCTTTTCTTAGAGCCCTGGCTGAATTAAAGACATGAGACGTAGACCGAATATTTTCCTCCCACCTGTTTTTAGGGCACGACTCAGCTGAAGAACAGAGGAGAAGCTCCTAACTGTGCCCCCATCCAGGAAAATCCCAGAGTAAAAATTGAGAAAGAGGAAAAATGTTCTACATGGGAATGTTTGGGAGGGGATGCAAGGTAAGAGCTAACGAAAAGGAGCTGCGGCAACATGGACAGGACTGTAGTCAGAAGCAGCAATATGCTTCTAGGCTGGAGGTCTGGCTGTGTTTACACTGGTGCATGCAGGCCAGGTATGACTGGAAGGATGACACCAATGGAGAATGAGAAGAGCTGCTCCTTGTCCACTTTCCAGGTGGCAGATTGACCCAGAGCATGCTGACTGTGTCCAGCAGCATTCATGTCCTGTTACAATGCCTTCTGCCGTGTTACGTAGACATGGCAGGAGCCTAAGCATTATGAGCCTGCCCTTAGCCACCTTGCAGTCCACAAATGACTCCTGCACACACCCGTATAGTCCACCAGCCTAACCATCTTTGCACAGAAGGAAAGCAGCAGAAGAAAGGGTCAGTCCAATGCCCCTTCTCCCAGCTGAATCAATCTTCTGTGGGAACTGCAAAGAACATCCAAAAGCTTCTCTTTGAGGAGCAAACGTAAGAACACTGGCTCAACTGATGAGTGTGATGGACTACTCCCCTCACACCAGCTATAAGGGGACATCCTCATCCTCATCTTCATCCTCATCCAGGTCAGTGGAGCGTAGGCTTAAGTCCTTGAGGATGTCTGAGATGTTTTCAGCAACCGGCCCTGTTAGCTCCATCTCTTCCAACTCAGTATCAGTGGCATAAGTGGAGCACTGGCCTTCCCCCTCTTCATGCAAGCGTGAGGGCTGGGGGGAGTGTGAGCAGGGAGGCAGTGGGCTCTCTGTGCCCAAGTCTGCTGCTTGCTGTGCTGCCACCATGCCGTTGTCCTGCCGGCTCCACACCTGAGAGGCCTGGCTGACCTTCTCACTGCTGATGGAATTCCGGTTGGTATCGCGGAAGCTGGCAAGGGGTGGGCGGAGGCGAACCCCAGAGCGTGTGGAGCCCTCTATTGCCTTCTGAAGCTATGAGAAGAGAAAAAGTTCAGAAAAAATGGATGAAAGGGAGGCTGACCCAGCCCTACCCAGAAGAAGTTCCATCTGCTCTCCAGGGTAAAGGGATCACAAATAGAGAGTCACAGCTCTACCTCTGGGGCCTGTGGAGATTTACACTGGTGGTGTAATTTTTCATTCCACAGTAAATAACAAATTCCACACCACTTTCAGAGACAGTAATAGCCACTCAGTTAAGAGCCCGACATTCATGAAAAGGATGAACCACCTAGCATCCCTGTAAACAACACCTGCTGCCTTCTCTGAAATACAGTCATCCATTCCTCTACACAGCTTCCAAAGGGTTGACTCAGAATTCAACACTGGATTGAAAATGTAGCGATCGCAGTTATATATATTCCCAGCTGGATCCTCCAACACCTGTAAGTTATTGCAGTGATCCACAGGACATTTGCAGTTGATTAGGAGGAGATGAAAGGAACTGTACTTACCTCTTCCAAAGCCAACACTCCCCTCAGCTTCCCCATACTGGTTACATAGGCATGGCTGAGGCCCAGTAATGAGAACAACGTATGCGTCTATGAGCAAAACCACAAAAGACCATGTCAGGGACTTTGGAAACCGGTAACACGATACTTGTTGCTAGAGCTGGGACTTGAGATTTAGAAATGGGAATCACAAAGGCGCACAAGTCTGCAGTCATCCCAGTGAGAAACTACCTCTTCCCCTTTTGTAGCTAGCAAATACTGCCCTTTGGTCCTTCTGCTGTGGAGTCATCATTGGGAGTGTGTTGATGATGGAGAGCACATTCTCAAGGTCACTCCCATCCTGCATCTGGCAAACAGATTCACATACAACACCTTGGGTATTTGGGGACTTACGCAGACCCTATTTCATTTTGGTTCTGGAAATGAAACTATCAATCATATAGTAATATGCAAAGTCAGAACCTGCTTAGGTCATTTATTCCAGTGCTTTCCTCAACACTAGAGATTTCTTTTTTCCTGTTCCAGAATATTGCCTGTCAAAGCGTAAGCTTGTTGCTGCTTATCCAGTGCAGTGGGAACACTGAGAACAAGTTATTCCCTTTCTCTTACAAAGCCTTCTTAAAAGGACAGATATCACACTGCTATCGGTCGTCTTTTCTTCAGCCTGAATATACCCCATTATTTTACCGTTCTTCATAGATCAGGCTTTCTAAAACTTACAGCATTCTCAGTGCTCATCTGTGGGGTATTTCCAACCTCCAGGTTCTTTAAGCCGAGTGCTAGCTGGACTTTACCTGTGGCCTTACATGAAGTTATTCTTTCACAGCTGGTGTTGCCTTTTTTTTTTTTGACATCACATGAGACACTGAATGTCATGTTCAACTGTAAACTAGGGAAAATCTCATTTCTCAGGAACAAGACATTTTACCCTAATGTAAAGGAAGATCAGACTGGTTAAACACAATTTGATCATGATAAGCTGTGATATTCTTGCCATTGTCAGTAGACTCACATTTAGCTCTAACTATGCATACCTCAGACAGTTTGATTATTTATTCCTGCATTTTTTGTGCATCCAAGCTAAGGTGATGGGCCACATATTTCAGAGTTTCTCATTTACTATTTTCTACAAGAGGTATGAAACTTCCCCCATTTGCAGTCTTCAGGTATAATTTGTTGTAACCCCTGTATTGGCAAAGATAAATGCTAGTGGTTTTCCGATTACTTCAGCCAGTCCTTTAGAAAACATCAAACTCATCTTAAGTATATGCTAACCTGTTCTTATTTTGTTTAAGGCAAAATAAGAATATTATAAAATAAATATAAAATAAACATAAAATATAAACATATATAAAAATATAAATATAATAATGAAAAATAATAATATAAAAATAATATAAAATAAAATAATATCTTACCCCTTTGATAACAGTAATTAATTAATTTTGTGCAAGGCATATGCTGACCGTTTACGTTAAATGAATATTGATGAAAACATGCACTGTGCACTTTTGCTTCAGTAGACTGCTTTCCCTTTCCATTGCGTGAAAGCCCAGGCCTCTCTTACTCCTGATATACGACTGCTTTTATCCCCAGTCCTCCTGTGCTAACTCTAGAAGTTAGATCCAGCTTCCTCTTTCCTTGTGCTTCAGTTCAATGAAGAGCCTATGATACAGGGTAGTTTCAAGCAGCTCTTCTCATGCACTGCAGCAGACTCTACACCCTGACAGAAACACCCTGAGAAATCCAGGAGTACTCATTCCAGTGCTGCACGCTGACAAAGCAGAGTGTAAATCTCAGTGTAATGCCCCCAGCAGCAAGGCATAGAGTGGCTGGAAAATCCTATCTGGTGTCCAAAAGCGATTTTAATAAATGTGCTCAGACTTCTTATGTAGGCTTTCATTTCTCCAATCAGGAGATTGGAGGTACACGCAGAAGGTTGTAGGAACAAACTGACTTCTGTAGCTGGATATGGAAGTAGCTGGTGATAGCAGTTGTAGATGAAGACAAGGAGAAGAAATAAGTCATAGACTAGACTTGCAATGATAGATAGGGTGGAGAAAAACATGGAGAGACATCTGTACCCACCTTGTGCAGGGAAGTTCTCTCCACCAGTTGGAAAGGGGAAGGGTCTATGCGGCAGCTGTCGAAGCACACATTCTTGTCCAGCTCCTCCTGTTCCCAAGCATCTATCTGACACAAGAAAGAAGAGGAATCACTCTTACAGTAATCAGCAGCGTCACTGTCTTGTGTACCCAAACTAGTCCCTTTCTCCTGTTAATGCTTCTTCCTTCCTATGTAGATCATTCATCTTGCCCGTTATATCACACCCCTCAGGTTTCCCATCCCTTCCTTGCCAGATGTCAAGTCCCTATGGAAACAGAGCAATTCCAGTACCTCAGAGGTTTTCTGAGAAGGTGAGGTTTTGCTCCTTCCTGCTTAAAGAGGGAGTGAACATCTTAGCTTTCGTTTCTGCGTGCATCTTCCCCTTGTCATTGCAAGATAATAGTTCCTTTGTGTAAAAAATGAAGGAACACACAGACCCACAGAAAGATTTAGGTGAGGGGGTACTGTGGAGGTCTCTAGTCCAAAACCCTGCTCACAGCAGAGCTGACTTCAAAGCTAGATCAGAACAATCTCTTCTCTTATTGAGTGAGACTTGCCCGCTGTGCAACTCTAAGAAGAAAATGGCTTTAGCTATGGCTTTATGTGGCAATCGCTGAGGTTGTCGGAGTTCAGGAAGTATTGCAAGTGATAGGAAATGGGCAAAAGAAGCACTCAATTAATGTCACTCGCTTTCTGCATCCAGTCTTACCTCTTCTGGCCTCATTGTGTCAATGACTTCCACTGGTTCCTGTAGGAGAAAACACTGTTCAGGACAGGCAAAGAGCCCACAGTTTCACAGAGTACAGAAAGGAAAAATTTGCACAGCCTCCTCACCCCTTGTGATCCCCTTTTCTTTCCAAATGGTATGTTACTGAGTGTTTAGATTTTCTTTATATGCATGGTAAGGTGTACTCTGTACTTGCTGTGCTTCCCTTGCCAATGAAGATTGACTATGGAATGCCAGTGGAGCAGTTCAGGTGCCTAAACATGGTCATCTAGTACTGCTTTAGATGCACTCAGATGTCCCATATGGGGTCCAACCACTGCCCTAGAGTGGATGAGTCTCCCGTAGGCTCTGTATGATATCCACCAACCCTGTGAAGGTATGTCAGATACCCAAGGGCATCTAATGTGGCACAAGGCAAAGGCATTTTTTCATTTTTATCTGGTCAAAACTGGTTGCCAAATGGAATAGAACTGCACTTTATTCCAGGTTAGCCAAAACAGCATTAAGTTATTCACTGAGAAAAAGATGCCCACACTCAATCATGATGGTAGCCTTGACACCTGAGCACAGATGGCTCTTTAGGAAAATGCACACTCCTTAACAGTAATCACACCCTTTCTCCTTGGAGAGAGTTCTCCACTGATGCTGTCAGAGTTGAGGACTGTAAGTGTGTTCACACTTTGGCCAAACACCGAATGGCTCTGAGTAGTAGGTTCTATTTCCATTGCATTCCCTTCCCTCTTCAGGATACTACTAGGCTCTCTGTATCCCTAACCTGGACGGCGCTCTCTGTTTCAAGTGGACGGTTGTAATGGCACAAAAGCTGCTGGATCAGTTGCCTCAGACTCCTGAAATTGCCTGAAGGATGAAAACAAACATGTGGATAAGAGAGAAGAACAAGTGAGAGACAAAAATACAAAGCCCCATGCCCATGTCCTTGCCCAAGGCAGGCTGGGAAATAATATGAGGGACATGGTATATGACAGGGCTGAGCCAGTCACAATCTAGCATTCAATTTGTAAGATGGTGTCTGGGACATGCCAGAGTAAATATTCCCATGCAATATCTTTTCCTCAAGGAGAGGAAACAAACCATTGCAAAGTAGCCCTTGCAGATAATATTCATAGATCAGTGTCCCTGAAGAAAAAAACCCAACAAACCAGAAGCAAGACTGCTAACGCAGCAAACAATCTGATACAGGGGATAAACTGCTATGACTAGAGGTTTCTGCAGTCCGCAAAGAGAATGTGGTTTGGAGGATGAGTATGGAAAGGGGAGGTGAGACTCTGGAAATGACATCAAAGACAAAACATATCAACAGCCTGAATGTGACAGGTACAAAGGGGTGAGGAGTCCATGGGTTGTGCCAGCAGTGTGATGGCGGGAATGAAAAAGACTGCAGAATAATTCTCCTAGGCAGGACAGTCAGGAATTAGCAAAGAGGAGGAGATAGAGTTCGGTGCTGTTGTGAAGTGGACAAGACTGTGGAGGAAGGTTGGTCAGAAACAATGACAGGCTGTGAGCCAAACTAAAACTTATGGCAGGGAAAGCCTCGTGAAGCCACCCCTGCTCCGCTTCCTTCTGTCACTCCCGGATCACTCAGTACTAGCTTCATGTATAATGTCTCACACACTGTCCTTGGTTTGATGTGATTCTTTTTCTGATTTGGTAAGGAAGGTGGATAGCTGTCCCACCACTCTACTGCCCTGGAAGCATAACGTGGATTTTCCTGTGCCTTAGAGGTGTAGCCATACATGAGTGGTGTTAAGGAACCAGAGTGTGCTATATGCTGTACTACATGCTAACCTTTGGGTCCCTAAAAACACAAGCCTCTGTCACTGACAGGCGCAAGGCCCTGTCCTCTGTATTCATTCTCAAGATTGGGCTACACCGTGCTTACTCACTCTCTGCATATTTCAAGACATATAAAGGAAAAAAAACCCCACCATCCTGCATCAAGTATACATTATATATGAATCAAAAATGAGCGATGAGTACAGTCTTGGAAGCAAAGCTAATATAGGCCTGGGTGGCACACAAAGAACACAATACATCAGTGTTTTTCCATCGTATTCATGTAGCTGAATCAAAGAGATGTGTGTCCAAGGGAGGAGCTGGTCAGCTTTGGAGATGGCTGAGCAACAGCCTAAGCTACTCAAAAAAACAAGTACAGATGTTTAGCTCTCAGGCTGCTTTTCCCAGCAAAATTCATTCATGGGGTGAAGGAGGCAAGAGATGGGACCCTTTCATGCAGAATCTCCAGAAAATGGCCAAGGAGATGTTATTGCAAAGGATGGAGTGGGGAGTACTGACAGAGAGAGAGAAGCCTGCGTGGGCCTACTTTTGCCACGCTCTCTGAGGGATCACAAACAGAGGATACTTCCAGGTACGTTACACTGATGTTGAGGTGCATTAACAAAATACCTTTAATACAGGAGCAGAAGAGAAAGCTCCTTCTCTCAGTCTCTGGGAAATCAGCACCTCGCACAGGCGTGTACACACAGTTAGCATGAAAGCTTCCACAAGCTGGCTAGGATGGGGCTGAGGCATGCCAGAAGTTGTCATACCTGGGAGTTGCTGTGGCTCCAAAGTTTGTTTAAGAGGACTTGTCGGGCCATTGGGCTCCTCTGGGTAACTGGGAGTGGGACTTGGGGGCCGAGGCAGCTGTTATGGAAAGGAGAGAAGATAAAGTCCACCCTGTGTCATTTCTTTCTCAGCCTCTCCAAAGGCTGCTTCTTAAGCAGTCTCTGTGTTGCAGTCTCTCCACTTCTGTCCCTCACCTCTCCCTTCTCATCTGTATCCTCATCCTCATCAACATAAGCAAAAGATTCATGCTTCAGCTTTGGCAGGGTTGCCCACGGTCCCTTGCTGTGCCCATCGTAGGGTGCCTCATACAGCTTCTGCTGCATTTCTCTGTTGAGGAGCCGTCGCCGTTCTGGGCCTATATGTCTCTGGAGGAGAGCCTGCAGTTCAGATCGCTCTACAGACCCCAGAAGGATCATGGTCTCTGCATAACACAGAGCAGAGAAGCCATTAAGCCACTTCAAGGTTTTGGATGTCCCCTGCCACACACTGCCCCTTCCTCCCTCCAACCTCTTCAAAGTGCTTGGACTCGTACTATCTAGAGCTATACGAGAGTCATTGACCAGCGCTGCTAGTTGCTGCTAATGCACTGTGGGGCTGTGGGAAGCTCACCATCACCGCTCCTCAGCACCACATCAGAAGCAGGCTCTTTACGTATGCAAGGTTCCTCCCTGTTGTCACAGTTCAGTCCACAACCTTCCCACACACCTCCCTTACCTGCTGTATCTGCGTCACTGCCCACACTCCAGCTTACCTGTCTGACCAGCTGCAACAGCTTTCCATCACACATCAGCCATAGCGGAAGATTTTTAGGAGGATATTTTACGTAGTGGGTCACTCTGTCTCCTTCGTAGCATGTAATTTGAAAGCTAGCTTCTTTGGCTCTTTAAGCTGAGAAAGTCTCCAGCAAGGACCAGTTTCTCCGCATTGCTTACCTGGTGAGTCCACCAAAGGCAAAGTCTTAACAGTGGTGCTTTGGAGTAGAGTTTGCAAGTCTCGGTATTTACAGTTGGAGGAGACGAATTTCACATCTTGGACCATAATGTCCTCAACAAAGATATTGTATTTGCTGTGAATTTATGGACAATAAGGTGAAGAGTTAGCATATCGAAAATGTCTAGCAGATAAATTTCTTAAAGAAATATATAAATGACCACTTTTTAAATAGTGTGCTCAGTACAGTTGCTAAATAATCTTCTGTGAGAGTAACCACAGAGGACTTTCTAACAGGATCAACACAGATTCACTGGATTTTCATCACAGTTGTATTCTACTCCATTACCCCTCACCATAAAAATACACACATATATATACATATATGTATAGATGTTTTATATATACATACCTATGTAAATTATATATACTAGAGAGAGGAAGAAATGTATATGAATAACTGAATTTTGTTTTTAGCAAAATATCCAAATAAAGTGATATTCCAAACATTTGCTGGAGAAAAAAAAAAATCCAAACCCCACTAAATTCAGAAAAAAATGGAAAATGAGACACTTGATTTTTAAATTTTTAACCTGAAGCAATTTAGTAATATTAACAGAAATTCAGTAACATTGCAGATTATTCAAACCTGTGCTTTCAGTGAAAAAAAGATGACTTTTCTCCATTTCTGTGTATGAAGCCTAATTCTACTCCACCACTTGTTTTTTCTCACTCCAGGCCTATTCTGCCTTTTTATTTTCTACGTAGTACTATCCCCTTTCCATGACCTTTTATTTTCCCATGGTCTCATCCTCTTCTGCTTTATTTCTTTGCCACTCCCCACCTCCATCTCTGTTTTACTACTATACCTTATGTGATTCCAGCCCAGGTCTGGCAGGTAGGGTAACTTCTTCACCTGGATGATGCTATCATAGAGGCTGGGCTGCAGACTCTGAGCCACCATGTTGGCAAGAATGACAGCCACCATCATGGGGAGGATGTGAGAGATCTGACCTGTCAGCTCGAAGCAGATCACAGCAGTGGAGACAGTGTGGCTCACTGCTCCTGTCAGAGCTGCTGCACCTTTCCCAGGTAGGGTGGAAAAGGAATAGGGAGAGAAGACTGTCATACAGAAACAGCATGTCACGTCAACCAGGAAAGTCATGGGGATGGGACCAGGCGAAGAAAAAGAAAGACATGGAGACTCACCAATGACAGCATACCCTCCAGGTAAGATTTGATAGACAATACCATCGAAGAGGATCCCGTTAGGAAAAAGTGATGCCATGATTTCCCCAATAAGACGCCCAAATGCAGCACCTGGAAAATATCACTGACAATTATGGAATTAACATCTAAGGACCAGCCAGTCTGTGCTGTGCAGCTATGCTGGGCAATCACTTGAGTATTTTCTAACAGAAACAAAATCAAAACATACATTGAAATGACACTGAGGACTAAAGAGTAGTTCTCAGTTACAGAATATAGAAGTTAGACTCCAAGAGGACAAAAAGGTACTAAGGCAGGTAAATACAGTTGACCCCTCATTCTTCCACTTAGGCACACCAGGCACAGTGGTATTTGTGATTCCCAGGTGGGAGGAAATATTTTCAGAATATGTACAATGTCAGTCCAGATCACAGTTGAGGCCCTTCACACACTCATTCTATGAATGTCCGAACCCTAGAATCACAGCTTAGGGAAGAGTTTAGGTGGGAAGGGATTTCTGGAGGTCTTATTCTGACCCCTGCTCACAACAGGGCTAATTTCAAAATGCGATCAAGTCACGCAGGGCCTTGTCCAGACAAGCTTTAAAAGTCTGCAAGGGTGGAGATTCTCCAGCCTTTCTGAGCACCTTAACCAAGGAAAAAACTTTTTTCTTATGTCCCATCAGAATTTCCCGTTGCAACTTGTGCCTTTACCTCCTATTTACTGTGTGTCTTTAAGAGAAGTCTTTCTGTCCTCTCTGCATCCTCCCCTGCTGCATTAGGTGGTGAAGGCCGCAGTTAGATCCCCTCTTGGCCTTCCCTTCTGCAGACTGAACAAGCCCAACATCCTCAGGCTCTCCTTGTTTGTTTTGTGCGCCGGCTCCCCAGCAATCTCAGTGGCCTCCACTGGACTCGTTGCACTTTGTCGAAATCTCTTGTATTGGTGGACACAGAATGGCACGATATTCCAGAATTGTGTCCAAAAATGCTGAATGCAGGGAAATAACCAATTTCTTTGCCTTGCTGGCTAGGCTTTTCCTAATAGAGCCTTGTTTGTGGTTAGCCTTCATCACTGCAAGGGCATACTACTGACTCATGTTCAGTTGCTGTCTGCCAGAACCCAGAGGTCCTTAGCACACACCACTTCATTTAAGAGCTGTGGATACTTAATGCTGAACTTCATGAGCTTGTATACTTTAGTTTAACATAGCCTCTCTTTCTTAACATTAGCGTCATATTCTTTTTAATTTTTGGTCTTGGAATTAAAACCAGTTAAAACCCAATAAGCTCCCATATGTTACCATATTTCAGTCAGAAGAAGTGAATAAGTGGTGGATTACATTGCAGGCATAGTTTTGAGGTTATCTCTTCTAGTTGGCCTTTAGGGGGGAAGGGAGCAACTACTACTAATTGTAGGATGAGAGTTTCTGTGTAGATGAAGAGGCAGAGAAATTAGAAGGCCGTGGCTCAGCATTCCTCCCCATAGTGTGGCTTTCCTTATGTAAAAGGACAGAGATTTTCTCCTTAGCATTTGGATTTGGGGGGTGGGAAAATGATAAAAGGAGAGACTCAGAGGCTGGTATATAGACTGCTAACCAAGCTTGTCATAGACATCAAGTGATGACTCCTCATCCACTAGAAGAAACCTACTGGGTATGTACGCAACGTCTCTCTTACCCTCTCCACCTGTCAGACCTATATGCTGCAACACAAAATTGAAACTCACCTAGAACAAAAACAGGCATGAAGCCTCCACAGGGGATTGGCATCGTGGTAGCAATGACAGACATCCAGAACTAGAACAGAGGCAGAGGGTGCAGTCGTTACTGAGCAGCAACAGCATTTCCTGCAGCCCCACTCTACTGCCCAGCCTGTGAAGCCTCGAGGAGACATGTTCTGAGGGATCTGGCAGTTCAGCCAGAAAGTGAAGGGTAAAAGGGCTATGGGGTGTGAAGGGGAGCTAGAGGAACTCTGGCAACACACCAACACTGATGCAAGGGACTTCTGGGCAACTGCTGTGGTGGTGGGGAAGCTGAGTCACCATGGGGATGGACGAACCTGAGAACTCCTTTGCCTTGGACCTCAGCAACTGAGATTTCTTACTGCTCCAAACAGCTTAGCTTTTCATAGAATGTGGTTGTCAAAATTTCACAGACTCAGAAAGATTTCAGTGCAAAGCAAGCTCTGGAGTTCTCTCCCCCAACTCCCTGCTCCCAGAAGGGCTAATTCCTAAGTTAGATCAGGTTGCTCAGGGCCTTGTCCAGGTGAGTTCTGAACATCTTGAAGGGTGGAGATTCCCCAGCTTTTCTGGGCATTTCTGCCACTGCTGACCCACGCCCCAGGGAGAATTTTTTCCTGAAGTCCAACTGTCATGTTTCCTTTATTAGCACTTGTGTCTCTTCCCTCGTCCCATCACTATGTTGGGCAAAATGATGACATCTGTCCTGGTACTGCTAAGACCAATTCAAATGCTGACTTAGCCCAGCACATATAGACTTCTGGAGGCAACAGCCTAATCTTACAAACACCTCAAAAGCCAATGTGCTCAGACTTTCTCAGGCAATATGACGAGATTTCCACAGTTGAGGGAAACACAGAGCATGCTGCTGTTTCAAAAGCTTGTACAAAGAAGTGTACTGGCAAGATGTCCCTTGCAGCAGCAGTATCATCCATAGGAGAGAGACGACCATGGTCCAGCACATCAAAAGCAATAATTTCAGGTACTTCAGGACCATATTCTCCTCAGAGTGGGCAAATCCTTCCTGTTCAAGGTCCACCTTTGAGGAGGCAATGCCTCTGCAGACATTGTTGTAGCTGTAGACAGTGAGTTTGGTGAGAGGAAATCCACCCAAGACAGCTTTACTGCTGTAATCCTCATAGGATGGTTGGCATAAAAGGGAAAATGAAGCCAGGATGTAGTCTTCCATTTAGGAAAGCCCTCTACAAAGGTCACAAAGAGCCAGCAGAACAGCATCTCTCGGCCCATGGTGGAGGAACATGCTGTGAGGATGGGTTGGACCATCAATTTGATAATGGCTGTTGCTCTGCCTTCCATAAGCCATTTGTATAGTCCAGAGGAGAAGTTTCTGGCTGGCTACAGAGGCCAGCAAGCTGCAGAAGTGGAGTACTGCTAACTAAGCTCTGTCTTTGCAGCACCGAACCCAGGCCAAATACGGCTGAGAATTGGGACTATCGTGCAGTGGAGAATCAGGCCAAGTCTTTGCCCAGAGTTGAAACAGCGGTTTCTTTTTTTATGATGTGGTCTATCCCAACTCTGAATATATCCAGTAGAAAATAAACTGCTTGGAGCAGTTATCTAGTGAGTTGAGGAAGCCTTTAGTTAATGGGACAAGGCCAATGAATCTAGTGTCTGAGGATACAACTCTTCCAAAGGAGAAGAGATGGGCTCAGGATAGATACACCATGTAGTCCATCCCTCTTTTATTCAAGTAAATGAGACCTTATCTGCTTGATACACTATAATCAGAATTATCACAGAAGCAGCACCCTTAACTGCCTGTCAGAAACTTGATGCGGTGCTTTACTTTAGGTGGAATCAGCTGTGTCAATCAATCACTGATGTCCATTCCTGATCTACTGAAATGTTCAACTGATGTTGCAAGGTGGTCTCAGCTCTTTTGCTTGCTCCTTTGCAACAACAACAAAAATCACCATTTCTATGGTATTTTTACCCTTTTATCTCTCCCCCCCACTTAGGAAAACCTCTTTCTTGCTACTTGTATTTTGAGTACTGGAATATAATGTTTTCTTCTTTCAAATCTCTTCTCTTGCTCTGTCATGTGTCAGTTACACAGCTGCTCCGTTCAGTTGCAACTTCCACAGACCATGTCAGCTCAGAACATTTAATCCCCTGTTGCTTTCTGAGAAGTGAGCAAACCTGTTTTTAGCTGCGTTTCTCCATCAAGTTACGGTACTGCTAACAAATCCTTGAGCCTCACACAACTATAGATTGTGTTTGCATATTCTTATTTGTCTCCTATCTGTAATCAGGAGTACTAAGTAGACTGTATCAGACTTTATTTAGACCAAATATAAATTATTTGAGAGCTTTTTACTCAATTACTGGCTTTTCTGGAACTTGAGAAATCTTTCCTGACGTAGTCCTCCCTACCAACACAGTGGGCACAAAGATGACCTAGGAAGCAGTGAAGGATGTCACTCTATTAAAGCCAGGAAAGTATTCCCTAATAATTTTAGTAATCTTGCATTCAAGACGGGCAAAAATCACTTCAAAAGATGCAAGACCCCATTTCAGTTGTAGTGCTTCATTCAATACCCAGCAAGTACTCATTGGCAGTTCACAAACTATTTTACAAAGGATCAAGAACATTCACTCTGAGTGGAAAAGGGTTATGGTGAACTGGGTTTCCTACCTTCATGAGGAAGAAAAGCAGGATGATGATGAAGACACTGACTTTGGGATGGATCCAGGCAGCAGATTTCCCTAGGATCTGCGGGTCCCCTGTGTATTTTGCCCAGGTATAGTTATCAAAGAGAGAGCTGATGGCTTCTCGTGGCATCAACTAAACAGCAAAAAAACCCAGGCATGAACCATGAGATTAGATGGAGTAAATATTCTACCCCTGTTCCAAGAAAGTGGAGGAGATTTTTCCTTCGGTAATTCATAATTATGAGACTTAATTCACATTTTTAGTCTTCAGGAAGAGAGACTTTACCTGAACCGGTGAAAGGATAACTACTTTCGCACATGGGGTAACATCTTCCTTATTACTTGCTTAGGAGAGTGTACCTTTTCCAAGTTTTATAGGAAGGAGACAGCAGAGATCATAAGTCTCAAAATATAGTCCCTCCTCAGTCCAAACTCCTCCCAAATCTTTCTTCCCCTTTCCATGACATGAAACTTTATGGTTTATTGGGGCACAGGATAAGGGGAGACTGTTCCGCAGAACTGCACGGAATTGCAAATACACATCCCACTCTCACCTCTCCTGCCATGAACTGCCCAAATCCTGGAGGAAAGGTCACCGTCGCTATAAGGAAGGTTATAACCCCAGGGTATATGAGGCGGCTGAAAAGAAAGAAAAGTTTATTAAAATATAACCTCACATTCTTTTCTTGTAGCACTATCACTTCAGGACTATGAACTCTTATTTCTGTGAAAGCTCTCTGCCACATCTGTAGCCATTGCTTTGGAGTGCTGTTACTGGCAATTTAATGCCCTGCCCCACTGATCATCACCATTCACAGAGAGTTCAGCTGTCAGCAAAGCCATTCTTCCCAACAGAATTAATGTAATGGAAGGGATGGAGGGAGAGAGGGATGTACAAAATGCACAGACTTGAATACATGGGGGGGGGGGGGGGGGGTTTTTAAAATATGGGGTGGCCCTTTTTTAAAAAACCGA